ATAATTTTATTCCTTTCAATTATACTGCTCTTGAAACTGGGATCAACTTGACTTTCCCAAAAAATTGAAAAAATATAAAATTTGAAGTAGAGTATAACTGTATAAGAATCAAAAACACATACTCACTGAAGTAAAGGACTAAAATTTAACACATTCCATCAAATTTAGAAACATATAAATACACACTTTCTTAATAATATGCCAAAAAAAAAAAAAAACTTAAAAATACAACAAATAGAAGGAATTAAGAGTCATATAATATGATACCTTGGGTGGTTTAAATGGATAATCAGGGGGAAAATGAATGGCAACTTGAAATACACCACCAGAATAAGGACTATCATTTGGTCCTATTATGGTTGCTTGCCAGTGAAACATGTCTTGACCCACTGGACCTGAACATTCATTCATCACTCAACATGATATATATTATGCAACAAAAACAAATTATAAAATCTACAATATTCATGCACAATCTTTGATATGATAGTTAGAAAATTAAATTTTTTACTGATTAAAGTACAAGTTATTTGATCATATTGTTTGTTATATAACTATATATTGTACCTGCACTACATGAAGTTGGAGGGTCTCTCTGCAACTCCCTGAGCTCCTTGAGAATCCTTCTCGACGCCATTAATTATATAAAAAAATCTCGATTCGGCGCTAAGGCTAATTTAATCTCTTGGATATCCCAAACTAGTGCAAGAAGCAAGGTTTATATAGAAGAAGTTGGGTGTTATTTTGCAGTACTTATTCCATGATGAAAGAGCTATATTATTCTCTCTTTATTTTCATTTTTTATTTTTTATTTTTTTTTAACTCCAATGGGTGTTTTGTAAGAACCAATTGGATGGTACAAGTCAAATATATGAACAATTCTGCATTTGGAGTCTAGGTTGAATAAGAACCAATTCCCCATTTTATTACATAGCATACTTGCCTTTGGCATTTATTCTACACATCAATTTATACAGATTTCTTTTATACTTGTACACTCGCCAATTTTTATAATATATATTTTTTTTTTAAATTGCTCGTGCATACCGCTTTTTACTGTATATGATTATTTGATTATTCAGAGGTTTTTGAACGCAAAAAAATGCTACATTCTGAACGAAAAATCAAAAAAATGTTGTGATGCTTAAATATAAAAGGGTTAATTGCCAAAAAAATCACGACCTTTTATTGAATTGCAAATAAATCTCAACCTTTTCAATTTTGCAAATAAATCTTAACAATTATTAACTATTGCAATTTCGTTTCAAATTTGAACTCCGACCATCCGCCGCCACCGGCCGCCGCCCAACCTCGCCGGAATTGAAAACTTTTTACGTCATCGTGTAGCTCTCCTTCCGGGCAACAACATATCCTAAGTTCATGTAAAAATTACGACAATAAGGGGTCCAGTTTTGCCGGAGGCGGGCGGCGGTCTACTTGCTTTTACCGGGAAATTGGACCACTTATTGTCGTAATTTTTACACGAACTTCGTATATGTTGTTGCCCGGAAAGAGAGCTACACGATGATGTAAAATGTTTTCAATTCTGGCGAGGTTGGACGGTGGCCGGTGGCGGCGGATGGCCGGAGTTCAAATTTGAGACAAAATTGCAATAGTTAATAAAGGTTGAGATTTATTTGTAAAATTGAAAAGGTTGAGATTTATTTACAATTCAATAAAAGATCGTGATTTTTTTTGCAATTAACCCAATATAAAATTATGAATTCTTGTTTAAAATAAAAAAGAGTTATTTATGCATACATGCAAGGGTGAACTTTAGCCCATTTTTCATTTTAGAAAAGCTTCATTATACGTAAAATCCTCACTTTTTGTATACTTGCAAATAAAACTCAACTTTTTTATCTTTGCAAATAAATACCAAACTTTTATTATGTGTTGTAAATTTGTCTCAAAACCATTTTCCGGCCAATCCTTGTCGACGTATTCGATCAGAAATCTTACGTGACACTTATGATGCCTGTGTGACATCAATCTTTGAAACTCCTCATCATGTTTTTGCCACATCATATTCCAACAAATTAACCAAAGTTAGAGTTTAGTACCAATTTAAAAAATAGGATTTTATCACCATGTTTTTTGCTCCATAATTTTCATAATAATCGAGTTTTTCTCCCCCTACTGAAACAAAAAAAAAAAAAAAAAAATATTGCAGCGATTCTTCTCTTTTCCATGGCGCGATTCTTCACCCCAAAAAATCGAGTTCAGCCCCAACATTCCGAAAAACATTTACGAGCTCACCCCCAAATTCTAAAAAATTGGGCAGAGGCAGCAATTTTCGAGTGAACTTTAGGCGATTTTAGTGTTTTGATCATACACATCAGCAAGATTGGCCGGAAAATGATTTTGAGCCAAATTTGCAACACATAATAAAAGTTTAGTATTTTTTATTTGCAAAGATAAAAAAAGTTGAATTTTATTTACAATCACACGAAAATTGGAGATTTTATGTGCAATTAAGCTTTTTAGAAATAATGAGCATAACTTTTTTTTTTAATTTTTCATAAAATACACATTATTACTAGTAGAGCGTTTAAGAGTTTCCATAAAGTAAAAGAAGAAAAAGGGATCTAAAATGAATTGTCAAAACACAAGTGGAGGTGGTGGATTGTTGCAAGTACAAAGAATAGCCACCTTAAGCCAGCCAATCTTAATGAAAAGGTACTCTTTTTGAAATTTAAAATATAAAAGATTAAAACAAACAAGAAACCTAAAAAAGTGTAATCAAGGAATCTCTATCTTTATCATTTTTACTTTTTCAATAAAAAAAAAATATTCAAAAAAGAGAAGATGCAAATGGGAGTAGTAATTAGCGCAGCCGCAGGTCGCGTGGTAATTAGGCTATCATTTTATCATTTACAGTTACGTAAATATATATTTTGTAGGTAAAATACCTAACCGACAAAATTTCTACATTTACGTACTTGAATATTTCTCTACAATTTTTTAACTAGCATGCTCTTAGTTATCGAGCAATATGCAAAATGAATTGTTGAAAAAGTGATTAGATCAAGATAATCAGCAATTTTATAAGTATACATAAGCAATTTGTATACAAACATCATATTTAAAATCTAGATATTGATATTACTTTATAAACTTATTAATAATAAGATTTATATATTAAATAGTCAAAACCTGTAAAAATAAATTATACAAGATATTCAAACAAAATTTATATTATTACTGACTTGATATATTGAGTCGGATATAATTATTATGTTGTCTTAAATTCATATGAATGAATGTCACGGGTCACACCGTTCGAGCATCCACATTCGCTTAGTGCGGATGCGTTTAAATTGAACCGTAGGGGGGGCCGTTCAAATGGATGCAGTCCATTCCATTAAAGGTGGACCCCTCACTTCTCATTCAAGCATCTGGACGCCGTTCAACGGCATTTTTATTTACCTGTTTTGGGGAAAA